ATACATTGGAACATACCGATTTACCTTCAAGCAAATCCAAGAGTCATTTTTTTGAGAATCATACCTTTAGGCAAGAAATCAATGTAATTATAAGGAAAGTATTGACATTTTATTTATATACAATTCACATATGACTAAAAAAACTTTGGTTGATATTGTAACAATTTTCAAAATAGAACATTAACAATAGTTCTTCTTTAAAGGAGGGGATGGAATCTTAACACTTAATGAACACCTACTATGTGTCAGAGTCAATGCTGGGAATATCATATAATTTAATTGAAACACATCTCACCTTTAAGTGATTGTGGCTTTTCTCTATTTCTTTTTTCTCCCCTCTCTCTGACACTAATATAGCTCCTATCCCCTAAGTTCCAGAAAAAGGAGGGGGTACGATATGGTCAGAGGAGCTTCACAGAGGCAGGAGATGGAGGTGACGGCTCTGATTAGACAATAAAGGCTTACACTTCCCAGTCTGAGCAAAGAAAAATTGCTCTACACTCCTCTCCATATTTGCAGACACAAACCCATCTCCGATACACAGAAACACCTCCCAGGTACATGCTGTACTCAACACACAGATCAGGGATGCTTATTTACCCAGTGGAAACAACCTTAGACTTGGAGTTTATATCTCATCTCTGCTACTTGCTAGCAGTGTGACTTTGGGCAAATCCCTTCATCTCTTTGAGCTTCAGATTTTTTCATTATTAAAATGCAGGTTATAACACCTACCTCACAAAGTGTTTGGAAGATCAAGTGGTGTAAAGTAGGTGAAAATTTTTAATCATTATAACAACACCGTTAAGGCAAATGAAATCTGTACTTTACAGAAGAGGGGAAAAAAAAAAAAGGTTAAGGAAACCAAGTGATTTACCCAAAGCCACATAGGAAATAATCAGAGAAGCCAGCAATTAATCCCTTCTGACTCTGAACAGTCAGATGTGCTTTTTTCCATGGCACAGACAAATTCCATCTCCCCTGCTGCCCTCCCTTTTGGACTCTCAGACATGGAAAGTAATGCCTCTTCTATCCCCACTGATCTCAGGGCCTTCTCTCTTCACAGCCACCTGGTGTTAGCCAAAGTCAGCCAAATGTGGTAGATACTTGGCTGGCTGGCATTAGGAATGTCATCAAAGCATCTGTAAGTCAGAAAAGGAGACAGGATTTGGAAAGCATGTGGCACACCACTGGACCTACAGCCTGACAGGAAAGGCTGAAAGTAGGGGGACTGATACGGATCTGGGTAAGTCTACATTGACTCCAAAAAATGAGGCTTCTTATGTATGCACGTTTTGTTTTTTACCCTTGGAATTTAAGCTCCATTCACAGAGGCCTGTGTGTGGCTGGGTGCCACAGGTTAAGAGGACACAGAGTGCTGACTTCCAGCCCCCAGTCATACCAGGGCCTTTAAAGGACCAGGGCCAGGGCCAGGTGAAAGACAGTGACTTTCAGAAGATAAGAAGGAGCTGTCCATCTTTTTTTTTTTTTTTTTTTTTTAAATGTCAGGTAAAATCCTTTCTACCAGCAGAAATCCAGAGACTCTCTTCCCATTATGAAGAACCTCCAACTGAGGGTGGAGGCTGAGCAAAGGGGGCAAGCTGCTAAGGGGACAGGAAGCCCTAAAGCTGAGAGACCTGGATATTCCAGTACAATCAGGCTTTGCTTCCAGTTAGATGAGCTCTGCCCACCAACATCCTGTTTGGTGTGCTCACCTGTCTGACATGCTGATAATGACAGCAGTGCTACCGGTTTTATTATTGGATCACACAGGGCAAAGCTCTTCCATGAGTTTGTACCTATCAATTCCAGTGTATAATGGTATTAACTCTCCCATGAAAACTCACTATTAGCCTAACATTTTTTTCTAGTACTTTGAGTTCACCTTGGAAACTCACGTTAGTCAGGATCTTATATCCTGAGGAAACAAGAAACAGATGAATTATCCCAAGGAAAAGGTCCACAGGGAATACACAAATGGGGACATTTTCTAAAATATGTGTTTCTGTTCCACTTTTGCCTCTCAGCTCCACGTCCATCCACTTAAACTCAGCTTTGCAATTCTGGGTGGGGTTGGGACTCCGTAAATCCATTTCAGGTCTGCCAGCCAGATCCCTGTTGCACCAGCAGGGGGTGCCCGAGGGCACCTACAAGGCAAGAGGCTTGCTCCTTCCTGCTCCTGCCAGCATCACCCCGAGGAGCAGCAGCAGTGTGTGTCGGTCCCCAGCTTGTCTTCACACTCCCAGAAGCAGCCGCATCACACTTTCTGAGTGATGCCAGCACCGACAGAGCAGCGCCCTTTCCTCAAGGGTCTGAGTTCCAGCTCCTTGGGCTTCTAGCTGTGATAACCCCAACTTGTCCCTTTTGCTCTCGCAGCTCTAGTGATGGTGGCTGTTTCCTGTCCCCCAGCCCATGCTCCCCATTTACCTATTCTGTCCTTCAATATCTGTCATACTGATTTCTGATATTACAAGAGCTGTTAAAATAACTTACGTAGTTTCTACCTTGCTGACTGATACAGCACGTTTGAGAGCCTCAACTTCATTTACAACAGTGGTTAAAAGAGCAGACTCTGGGGCTTCCCTGGTGGCGCAGTGGTTGAGAATCTGCCTGCCAATGCAGGGGGCACGGGTTCGAGCCCTGGTCTGGGAAGATCCCACATGCCACGGAGCAACTAGGCCTGTGAGCCACAAGTACTGAGCCTGCGTGTCTGGAGCTTGTGCTCCGCAACAAGAGAGGCCGCGACAGTGAGAGGCCCGCGCACCGCGATGAAGAGTGGCCCCTGCTCGCTGCAACTAGAGAAAGCCCTTGCACAGAAATGAAGACCCAACACAGTCAAAAATGAATAAATTAAAAAAAAAAAAAAAAAAGAGCAGACTCTGAAATCAGTCACACCTGGATGGGAACCCCAACCCATTTATGGAGTACTTGGTAACTCTGGAAGAGTTAATTCACCTCTCTGGGTCTCATTTTTCTTAATCACTTTCATTTATTCAACTAACATTTACTGAGCACCCCCCAAGTTCCAGGCACTGTGCCAGGCAGTAGAGATACCATGTTATGCAAAACAGTTAAGTCCCCTGACCTGAAACCTTCTGTCAACGGAATCAGATGAGATAATGCAGGTAAGGCACATGTCATCAGCCTTCCTCTCTGTACCATGACAGGGGAGCAAGGACAAATGGGTTTTGAAAAAAGTGTAACATCTAGGTCTCTTCAGAAAATGAGACAAGTGTCTGTTCCTCAACAAGGCTGAAGGATTCAGTCAACATAACACCAGGGATTCGTTGTGTGCCCTGTCCATTCCTCCTGTTCAGAGCAGAGAAGCAATGACCTCGCAAAAGTATTCATTCAGAAGGAAATGGGACAAACAGCCCTAGAGAGGAAACACTACATAATGGCATTTTTTAGAAATTCCAAAGAGACAGGTTCCTGTGATACAAGGAAAGAACAAAAGGAGCTGCAATGCAGGAGTAGGACTGGGGCCCAGAATGACCATGACCATGGGGTGTGAGTGGAGAAAGATAGTAGAAAGCTGCTGTTCCAGCATCAGTCACAGCGAGAGTCTTTTTACCATAAAGAATATATAAATATCAAATAAACCAGAACTTACTTTCTGCAGTAGGACTATATACCTAGACAGTCCAGGGAGGTGATAAGATGGAAAAGAAAGATTCTTTATTCCATTTAAGTCTGAACCTAAAGGTCCCACGCTGTGGGCAAGGAAAAGCTGGAAAGAAATCCAATCTCCACAGTTTGACACAATCCTTCCTTGGACTTCTTCTGACTAGACATCAGGCATATTGAGGCAAGGATGGCCGATGTTCTCATTAGCAAGGAAGTATTTCTGCAAAACTACTGTGTAGCTAAATTCTTGAAAGCACAGTGCCTGGAACTTGGTGGGTGCTCAATAAACGTTGGTTGAATAAATGAAAGTGATTAAGAAAAATAAGACCTAGAGAGGAGAATTAAATCTACAACACATTGATATCCTATAAATGCAAACTAAACTCTTCACCCTCAATTTTTTATTCATTTTGACATCACCATAACTATCAAAAGTCATACTGAAGGAAAATAACCATGGGAAATTATTACTAGAAGGTCTATTCCACATCCTTGCTCTAGGGCCTCGTTATAAATAATTTACTGTCAATGAAGGAATTCAGAGTCCCACAAGGCATGAAAAGCCTGGAGACAGTTTTATTCATAAATAAATGCCAACATTTAAACAATCAAGACATCTTCAAACTCCAGGAGTTGAAATCAATATTGAATATTGAAATTCAATATTGAATATTGAAATCAACAATATATACTGCCTGGATGATTTGTTACACTTGTGTTTATAGTCTGAATAGGAAGATAATTCAGTTCCACCTCAAGAGCCATTATATGGCCAAGCCCAAGAGAAGCACTTTGCATAAGAGGTGATATCTCTCAGTTTTTCCATTTCAAACAAATTATCATCTCTGCATTTAAGACATCAACCATGCAATTCTTTTCATGACTTGTAGTACTCTTGAGCAATTAAGAACATTTATAAGGTGAAAGAAGTCAGGGACAAATGCCAAATTTAAAATGATCCACAGAACACTGAAGAACCCCCAGACAGCACTGCTGTCTGAGACATAAGGCGAAATAATCCCTTCTGCTCAAGAAAACATAAATGAGCAGTGAGTATGCATCACAGCAAGAGCATTATCGCCCAGAAGAGGCAACTGCTAAATACAGACTTCATTTTCAAACAAGCCTCCTAACAGGAAATGTGAACCAAAAGGTCCCTTCTGAGGAGATGGAGAAATGTCACTTGGCAACATGTCTTCCCTGTGGCCCATGGCAGCCTTCCCTCATATCCCCCTTCCCACACAGTTCAATCAGGGCGTAGAAGAACCTGTTTGTTACACATTCCTGGATGTGGCAGACAACACTCGGGAGCAGGCAAGGGCAGAGAAGCCCGGCCTACGGGATCAGCCCCCAGAATTCCTGGGCTTACATACCATCCAGGCCATTGTGATGACTGTAGTTTCTTTTCCCCAAAATGCTCAGAGACGTGTGATTCGGGGTGGTTAGCATCCGCTTGGTAGCTGGGGTTTGTAGGCTTGGTGTAGATCGAATTACATTAGGTTTCTTCGAAGGATGGATCTCTGACAGGGGGAAGAGAGGTTTCTCAACTCAGAACATGGTATTAAAAATCTGTGTGCACTTACATCGGCTAATAGGCACACATCTTATTCTTATTTCTTAATGAGCTAAGAGCCAGTTCCTTATGAACCAGCTTATTTTCCCAAGTACTTGCATAATGAATCAACTTCAAGTGCTGTTACCATGGCTTTATTTATCAAAAGGGAGCTGGTTCTGCCCCTGCTAGCTGAAGCTCTGAGCTTCATGTTGTGAGTACAAGAAAAAAAAAAAAAGAAAAAAGCCACTTCAGAAGGTCACTTAAACATGAGATTTATGAGGGGAATAAGGCATCTGACTCTTCAAGGAATTAGAAATTCAAAGGCTATCTGGAGAGGTAGCCTTAAAGAAAACTACCCTTGTGCTCCATCAAACCAGGAACATAGATAGCATGTAGCACATCTGGTGTGTGAGAGCTTTCTGAAAAAACAGGATTCCTCCTCTGGCTCTGCAACTAGGACACAGGACCAGGGTCAATCACTCCCAGCGAAAAACAATTTGATATAGATGAAATCTGACACCAAACTCCAAATACTAGAGTTAAGAAGTAGCAGACGATGGGACTTCGCTGGTGGTCCAGTGATTTCAGACTCTGCACTTCCACTGCTGGGCTGTGGGTTTGATCCCTGGTCAGGGAACTAAGGTCCCGCGTGGCATGGCCAAAAAAAACACACAAAAAAAAAGCAGCAGAAGAAAACTTTGACAGAGGATATATGACAAAACTGTAATGTGCATGTGGTACATGTGTTTATGTGAAGTATGTAGTTGTCAGTAGATGGACAGAAACTGCAACACTGTAGCAATTGGATTTAAGGACCTCAGTCTACCAGGCAACCTCTTCTCTAAAGCTAAGCCTGCTCACTGATTCTGAGTCACTACCCAACATGCCAATCATGCACAAGCCACCCTGTCTTCCCAGGTGAGGGCCAGGATATCAGCCTTATTTACTGAAATTTAGGAAGGGCTGTTAGGAGTATTGGTCTGGTCAGAATCCTACACTTGCTGAAATTTAGGAATGGATCAGGTACTAACCAAAATACAGTGCTGATTTTTTTTTCGACATGGTATTGAAGGTTTGCCAACCTCATATTTCATCACAACCTCCATACGCTATGCTCCATCAGGACCAGAAAACCTGCCTTCCTTGATCCGATTTTCAAGCGCCTTTGTTCATCTAGTTCTCTTGGCCCTCATAAGGGGAAAAACATTCTATCTATTCAAATACTACCTATTTTTCAAGCTTGAGATCAACTATTACTTTCTTCACATAAGTTGCCCTAACTCCCATCAGAAATAACTATCCCTTCCTCCAAGTGCCCAATGCTTATTACCTGTAATTCTTTTATAGGATCTAATCCTTTGCTCAATTGTTCTTACCTGTGTGCCTTCCCTGCTAGTTGAAGATTTTTGAGGGCAAGGTTGTATTCATCTTGGTGTTCCCCAAATCACTTAGTGAAGTGTCTTGTACATAGTAAATACTCAGAAATATGTTATATAGGGAAGTGGTTCAGTTAGTAAGGACAGCACTGCTTTGGGCTTATCTGGTAGAGACAGAAACCAATTTGCCCATAGCAGGAACACATAATTACCTATGGAAATGCTGACTAATATGCAATTATATTCTATTTTTTATGATCATAAACTTTCCCTTGCAAGGTGGGAGGGGCTTCTAGGATTAGGCCCTGCAAGGGAACACAGGTAGCAAACTTCAAGGATTTGATCACCATGAGCTAGGTCGTGCCTGTGATAACCATGTGATATTTTGGGGGGCTATCAAAGCAACTCTTTAGGCCCTGAGGAATAAAACAGGAAAAAAGGTGGCAAAATAACATCAAAGAAGGAGCTATGCACTTCCGAATCCTAGGATGCTCTGATGAGGACCAGATAATATACCAACTTTAAGGCTACACTTTGATTTTTAAAAGACTGGATGTCTTAAGTCTGAACACTTCACAAATATAAATCTTTCACAAATATAAGTAATAAGGTTCAATGCAACTCTGAGAACATACTTCACTTTTACTGAGAAGATGAAAAAGCAAGAATATTAGAAGCATAAAAACATGCCATTATAGCTTCTAGGTATAGTAGGAACCATTTTAGCAGTCATTATTTTGTAAATTATTTATCTTAAAACTTTCCAAAAAAAAAGGTTATTGCCTAGTAATTTTATACTATTCCTAATTATATTTCAAAATGTAAATGGAACCATCATCTTTGGCGACTTCCAAGTTAAATAACATGATAAAAACCAGAAAGCAATACTAATGCTTTCCTTTCAAGTAACCTTAATTGGCACATTAAAACTATAAATATTGTTTAAAGGTGGGTTAAAGGCCAGTTTTATCTGTTTTTTTTTTTTAAAAAGTAAATAAACCAATCTTTCTCTATTTAAGGGGAGGGGTGAGCTGGGTTTGAAATAGTGGAAGGATCTAAATAAAAATATTAAGAATATTCATCGTTAATTTTATAATAACCTAGAATGGTGACAGATGGTAATTAGAATTATCACGGTGATCATCCTGTAATGTGTATAAATGACAGATCACTATGTGGTGATCCTGAAACTAATATAACATTGTAAGTCAATTATACTTCAGTTAAAAAAAAAATTCATCCTCTAATAATTTAGTGATTATTTTCCTCTTTTTGCTTAATCTGTATTTATATCCATAAATATACATTTTTATTCAATGATATTTTCGGAAAAAGTAAACCTATCTATAACTCTGTATGTTTTGTGTTTTGGTAATAAAAATAAAAGTTTCTGAAATAAAATAAATTGACTATACATATGAAGGTATCCAATTGCAGCTACTTGAAAGGCTTGCATTTAATTTAGGTATGTCAATTTTGAATAGCCGATTATAAGATACAGAAATCGTTGAGTTTTTCTTCCGTTAGGAAATACCCACCTAAATACCCAATGATACATGCCAAAGGTTTCCTAGTGCTTTTGCTTTTCAGTGGACTTCCAGATAGGTCCGCATGTCTGTCTGCATCTGGGGAGAAAGAGAAACACGGAGACAACCAATGAGGCTGATTTCTCTGCCTATGCTACATACACCGCAGAAATAAAATGTGCAAGTGGAAAACAGTGCAAAAAATCTGCCAGATTCCTCCATAATTTCCTTTGGGGCTTAAGAAAACCGTTTTCAGTTCTGGTTCAAATTGCTGAATGGGATTTTACCTGGAGAATACTCACTTTAAAGTCCCTTATGAATGTAGCTAACACACATCTTACATGCACATGCTTTCTTTCTGTGCATGCTCATCTGTAAAATAGCCATGGCATTTCTACATTATAGTAGAAAAGCTTCCATAAAGTATGAGGTGTTATCAGTCCTAATGGAGGATAAATCTGGCATGGAAGACAAAAATGACAAAGGCAACACACTTGACCATCCCTGACCTAGATGGAGTGGGTCTCTATGGAGGAGTCTTCATCTATCGCGATTAAATTCAATTCCATTAGATTAGAGCTTCCCAAAAGTAAAAATGGGTCATTTGGTTTTATCACTAGTTTTCTATCCTTCATATCCTACTGTGATGTCATTAGTGCTGAGATTTAAAAGGTTACCTGTATGCAGACAGGTATTTCATCCAATAGTCAGAATAGTAAAGTACTGTGATGGATGTTAGTTCATAGAGGTCACATCACATTCCTCATACCCTACCATAAAACAGTTCAGAGAAAAATAAAGCACACAACACAAACACTCTCTGTGTTTTAATTTTTAAGCTCTCATTAGATGGAAGAGTAGATGTGAAACATGGCTGCCTCTCATACCAAAGAGTTAAGCAGTGGAGTCTGAAGCAACAAAAACAATGTGTATTGAAATGTTTTTTAAATTTGCAGATACTGTCATAAAGCTTAACAGAGTAGCTTTAGCAGATATGATTCTGCTATGTTTATGCCTTTTCCCACCTTCACATTTTTGACAAAAATGTCCTATAGATTTTCTGTGGCTGAGACCACATTTCTAGGCCTACATACAGGAAATTTTCTTTGACATCCACAGGGATTCTCTGCACTATTAGCATTAAAATGTATAATTCAATCTGGAACTTCAAATGATTTAAAATTAAAAATTAACTTTTTCATTAGCTCTAGCCCTCTCAACAAGGAAACTCTTTTCCAGTAACTATTAAACAGGAAAAGGTGGGAAAGCAGCATTTAAAAATATTGAAATAGACAAAGCACAAACTACAGACAGCCTGGAATCTGAATATATATCCCAAGCACTGGCTAATTACTATGCAACCACTTGACAACTATAAATGGTCCAGTTTCTTTTCCTCCAACTCAGCTGATTTCCTTTGAGCAAAAAAAAATTACTAAGCTATGAAGCTTTTCACCTGTTATTGAATAATAGTGAAGATACAGTCAGAAATATAATAAGCATATTTTGGAGGAGTAATCTAAACAAACATTAAAAAGCAGCCCAAACCCTGCAAGGATCAAACACCTGTCAAATCACTGTGTGCTAACAGTAATAATTCCTTCCTAATATTACTAATTCACCAAAAATTCAAGTTCTGCTTAGGAAGAGGACAAGAGAAGAAATTTATTTTCTATTAATAAAATAAAGCTTGAATGAATCATCTTAGTATTTGCTCAATGTTTTGGACAAAAACCATTACTGTATTACTAGTAGTAAGATTAACTTTGCTCTTTATTCCAGTCTATAAGGCCCAAAGGAAAACTGCCAATGTGACTTCAAGTGATGAACTCCCACATGACTGTCACCTTGACAATAATCAACGTACCCATCAAAGGAGTCACCAACACAATACCCATAGACATTTCACTTTCTATTAATCTGCTTTTAATTTCTCACTAAATGAGTAGGATTAATTATGTAATGTTCCAAGTGAGAATCTACAGAGCACCTGAGTGGGAGATCAAAGCTTTTTAGAAGGATCCATATTTCATCAATCTTCATTATATTTTATAGGAAGTACTTGGTGGCAAGAACTATCAGTCTCAACTGTGAATAAATTAGGATGAAAGGTGGGTGCTAAGACTACCGCATGACTGTTTAACATAAAAATTGCATTCATTCAGTGATTATGCCGAATATAAATAGAAAAAAATAGTTTCTGTCCGGAGGAAATGATCATAAACATAGATGATCAGGTCCACATTTGAGTTGGTTAAAAAGAATCCTGGTCTGTACTCAAGACCAGGCCAGTGGTACCTTGCTCTCAAATTATTCACCTAACTATACTTAAAGAGATAATTAATTAGTACCCATTAAAAGCACACAGGTAAAGAAAGCAACCTGAGAAATGCCCGAAGAAACCAGAAGGAATTAAAATCTGGCCAGAGGGAGAGCATTTTCACCTCACTCAAATGGCTTGACTGAGCACAAGGCATATTTCCCTGGCCTCCTAGAGGATGAGCTATACCTCTCTGAGGTAAACCTGGAAAAAGTTACCTTTTTTTTGCAACTCATGGCTATCTTTCTAAAATGTTTTGGAAATATTAGAGGGGAAACTAAAACAGAAAATTTGCAGAAAGTATATACCGAATTAAAATTCACAAAAATATCTCACATGGGTCTTCAAAACTGCTATCAAAGTAAAACCATCCATAGAATTTTCTTATAGGAATTATAAAGGCATTTCTAAACAAGACATAAAACGCATGTGCCATTAAAAATTTTTTTAAAAAAAGATAAATTCAGCTACTTAGAAAAATCTGCTTGGCAAATACCTCAACAAAATCAAAGACAAAATGGGGGAAATATTTGCATTACAGATCAAGAGCTAACTTCCTTAAAACATAAAAAGTTCCCATGAGTCAATAAGACTTTTAATAGAAAACAGGCCAGGGGCAAAAACAGTTGACAAAAAAGGAAATACAAATGGTTGTCAAATATATGCAAAATTTTCTACCTCATTCAAAATGAGAAATGCAAGCTAATATAACTTACATGTCACCTGTCAACTAGTTAAGGGTTTCAGAGATGGATAACACTGCTGGCAAGGTTCTAGAGAAACAGGCACTCTCTAGACACTGTGGTGGGGGTGTAAATCATAGTTTTTCTGAGGGCAACTGGGCAGTAACTATCAAAATTCAGAATGGAAGTTGCTTGACACAGATGTTTTACTCTTAGGGATTTAACCTGTAAGCAGCTACATGCTCATTTCACACATCATTTTTTTTTTTTGGCGGTACGCGGGCCTCTCTCACTGTTGTGGCCTCTCCTGTTGCAGAGCACAGGCTCCGGACACGCAGGCTCAGCGGCCATGGCTCACGGGCCCAGCCGCTCCGCGGCATGTGATATCTTCCCGGACCGGGGCACGAACCGTTGTCCCCTGCGTCGGCAGGCGGACTCTCAACCACTGCGCCACCAGGGAAGCCCCATACATCAGTCTTAAATGATATCTGTGTATTTGTTGCAACACTACTTGTAATAGAAAGGGATTGGAAACAACCTAATTTTTTTTTAAATAGGAGAAGTACTGGCTCAAGTACAAGACAGACTATTATGCAGCTGATAAAAAAAGGAGGTGGGACTTCCCTGGCAGTCCAGTCGTTAAGACTGCACTTCCAATGCAGGGAGCACAGGTTCAGTCCCTGTTTGGGGAACTAAGATCCTGCATGCCACGTGGCCAAAAATAAATAAGTACACTTTAAAGAAAAAAGAAAGAAAATCACCCCCCCACACACAAAAAAGAGGATGTAGTTCTCAATGTACTGGTATGGCCTCCAAGATACGTTAAGTAAAAAAGGCAAGGTGCAGAACAATGCAGACATTAACGTCTGTACAAAAACAAAAAATACAACTACTTAGTTTCTTAGAGATACACAGGATGTCTCTGGATACTTCAGACACTGATGACAATGGTTACCTCTAAAAGAGGTAGGAATGGGAATGGCGTTAAGATTTGTAACTACTTTCGTACTTTAAAAAAATTTTAAGTATCCAAAGACAAATTTTTATTAAAATAATAAACTACCAAAATAAACAAGCCAAAACCGTTCTCCTAATGTTAGAACTTAAAATTTCACAAAACTTTATACAATTATTAACAGTAACTTTCACTGAGAAACCTCTAGAAATCTCATAAAATATATAACAAGTTTCTTCTTCTGAATATGGGCCCTTGGGATAATACTTCTGAAGTTGATTTAGCATCTTCAAACAGAAAAAAAGGGCTCCACGTATCCCTTGAAAACATTCATACTGGGGAATGGTGCTGTCATTCAAGTCTCGTGTGTTATCAAACCAGAAAATACTTAATTATCCATGCAAGCTACAGAGGGGGGCAGGTAAGTCATTTGGATCCATTTCTCTGGGGACTTTTGCTTCATCTCTGAAATGCTGCTAATATACTACTTCTACTTAACCTTAGTCTCTGGATCTTGAGTCTCAAATAGAAGCCCTGTGCTCATCAGGTGTTGGGTGATTTTACAGATCTTTGACAAATCAGTCATCCAGTAACTCAGTGGTAAAGTCTCATGATAGTAACAAAGGAGGAAAACCATCATCATTATATTATGGCTTTTTTTAATGAGGGGAGGGGTGTCAAGGGGAAGCAGGGGCAGGCTGTCTGAAACTTGATGCTGTTACAACCATGCAGTTGGTCTGCAAATCTTGTCAAGGACATCGTACTTTTCTTTATGCAACATTTTGGGTTTTGGTCTAGCAATCCATTTTTATTAAGCACTACCTACATGGTAGAACTGGCCCAGGCACTGTACTGATGTTAGCAATTTTTAGCATGGACTTACATATTTACATACAAAGGTATATCATTCAAATAAATAGGTATTTGGGATTTGGTTTTAACAGTCATTTTTTACATCTATATCTATATCTATAAAACACATGTTGGTCATAGTGTATAGTTATTTCAAGTTTTAAAAAAATTTTTAATAGGAAATATATTCCTATGACTCAAAATCGAAAAGTTTAGAAGGATGAATAGTGGTACGTCTCCTTCCCACCCTTTTCCCTCAGCCTCCCAGTTTCCCTTCCCAAAGATATTACTTCTTACATTTTCCTGCGATGCTTTATGGATATGCAAACAAAGACTCCCCTGCTCACTATACTGTATTCCTTAACACCGGTTTCTTAGTGAAAATAAAGGACAGAGAGCACTGCTGTAACAAATTAAAAAAAAAAAAAAAACTTCCTCTAAACAAGGATTAACTTGTAAGTTGAGATCTGAAAGTTATGATTATGCTCTCCCCCATGTAACTGAGAATTTATCTCCTCAGCTCCCCACTTCTTCACTCTTCCGTAGTCTGATACCCCATCAACTCTGGCTGTGATACTGGCTGTGGTGTTGCTGCCAAGGCCAGGAGCTATGGAAGGGGTCAACTTCTATACTTCTTATAAGAGGAAGATTCTCAAGTTCACAGGCAAAACTAGTTTCCTTTTCCAATATTATAAAGAATTATTCTAAATGCATTAATTGGAGCTCTTGATCCATCAATATCTTTAGAATTACAAACTTTCACCTGATCTGAAAGTCATTCACCATCACGGAGATTGTTAACTTTTTGGGGGAGGGACAGGGTCACCACTGCCTTTGAGAAACCAAGGAAAGCTTACCAAAAAAACCAAAAAACAAATACAGCTTTAACCTCCCCCTGGACCATAAACATGGTTGCATACAGACATCGGGTTATTAACACCTAATCTTGCTAACAAGCCAAGATCAAGGAATCTGCTAAAGAGGTTGTGACAAGGTACAAATATAAGAAGGGAGAAGATAATGCAAGAAGCAATTAGATGCTAGGAAAAGAGTTCATTAGCTGCTTGCTGGGTGGGGGGACTGGGACTGAGTAGGTGGCTGCTGAAACTTTATAGTTTTAAATTTCGAGGTAAAATTATTCTGAGAATCTGATTCTATGTGTAACTTGACCAATGAAGCTAAATACAAAATAAAATACGCTCCTTGACTCTCATCACAACAAAGGAGTCTGTTCTTTTATTACCATTATTATTATAGATATGTTTGTAGAAATAAAATACAGGTAATTTAATCTCGACCCTTTTATAGTAGCATGGCCTTTTAACTGAGAAAAATTAAAATAAGGTGACACAAAAACATACTTCATTGAAGAATCACCAAAATAAAGACAATGTGCAAATTAACTGAGAAATTAACAGAAGCTTAATGAGAAACAGAAGCTTCCTCAGAAGCCAATTTAGTTGGTGATAGTTTCTTTTCCGCTCATAGCAACAAAGATGATCCTGGAGCCTGGCCAATTTTAATGGAAGAATTTCATTCACTTTCTTTCTCATGTGTTTTTTATTTTTTATATTTAATAAATTATATATAAACGTATATGTTTTAAATCAGCTAAGCCGTATATTCATGGATATAAATATTTTCTAGTTCCTTAAAATGGTAAGAAAGTGATAACATAAATCCATGAACTCAGAAATGCTAGCACAAAACCTCAATATACATGCCTAAGTTCTCACATATACATGAGTTTCATGTAGCTAAGTTTCCCCTCCATGGGACGCAGAGATTACTTCCAATTTCTACTCACTTTACAAAGCACTTTTCTTCTTCTTATAAAGCTTTTACCTGTAAGTTTTAAAGCTTTTCAACTGTTCTGTTGAAAATTATCTTTAGGAACAAAAAACACTTTTCAATCATCACTCCTTTTACAGATACCCTCTTTAAATCAAAATGGAACATCTCATAATAAGAAATTTCTTATCTCACAGATAGAGTTATCTACCGAATGTCTTTAAGATTTCCTACCTGTTAAGCCAGACAGCAAGTTTTCTCATCCCATAGGGAAAAAAAGTTTCATGGCTCTAACATGCTAAACAGGAATGTAACTAAAAGTAGCAAGACTTAGAATCAGAGTTCACACACAAATTATGGACACATTTAGGGGTACATGGTAATAACAGAACAACCTGCAATTCATCGGTACATATGACCTTTGTTCTAACAACAACAAAAAAACATAAGCAAGACTGAATGTGTTGATAATGAGTAATAAAGTCATGTAAATGTTATGTAGCAATGTATATGGTATATGATTATGAAATGGAAACCAAACTGGACAAATAGAAAGAATGCTCAACCACAAATTCAGACACTAGCTTGTAAAAATTAAATGTGTTTTCCAGAAAATTCACCCAAAAAACTTTAAAATTCATTTATAATTTGCTAAATCTTCTAATTTGTTATGAAACACTGTGAATTTCCAGAATATTGTATGATAATTGTAAAAGGTTTGTGGGAAATTGAGAAGTTTACAAAGACATACAATTTCTCATTAGTGTAAATTGGCAAATTTTATTCTACCTTATAGGTAAAAATCCCTCTTCGATAAGGGCTTTCAGGTAATTCCATCACAAAACCCCACTGGATAGGATCACCTCCCACCAATCTTTTGCTGAGCACTGCTTTCTCATAAAGACTGCAGAAGTTTCAATGTTTTCAGGTTGGCATTATACAAATGGCAGCAGACAAAACAATGTTAAAAAAAAATAAACCAAATAAAAGGCTGTACACAAGAACTTATGTTTATTGCAAACAAAAACAAAAACAAAAAGAGAGAGAGAGGGAAAGAGAGGAAATGGTCAGAAGCACAACATGTAAGGTTAAGAATTTAAAAGCATCTTACATTCTGCCCTAATGGCAGCATAATTAATAGGAACAAACGGCCGTCTTGCTGCCTGCCGCAGCCGGAGGGTATTTTTGCAGACCTGACGAGCAAATTTTGTGAAATATGTAGTGTGAAGGAAGAAAGCTTGACGGGTCTTCACTGCAGACTTTGGGCTCCCAGTGTTTCGGACCGGCATCCCCTGCATGGCCTGGCGAGACATGTGACTTCGAACTCGAGGGTCCTATAAAATCAGACACCAACAAACATGTAAAGAACGGAACTTGTCAAAATATAATACTCCTCCCGGAGATGGAAACAACCTAAGTGTCCATCATCGGATGAATGGATAAAGAAGATGTGGCACATATATACAATGGAATATTACTCAGCCATAAAAAGAAACGAAATTGAGCTATTTGTGATGAGGTGGATAGACCTAGAGTCTGTCATACAGAGTGAAGTAAGTCAGAAAGAGAAAGACAAATACCGTATGCTAACACATATATATGGAATTTAAGGGAAAAAAATGTCATGAAGAACCTAGGGGTAAGACAAGAATAAAGACACAGACCTACTAGAGAATGGACTTGAGGATATGGGGAGGGGGAAGGGTAAGCTGTGACAAAGCGAGAGAGAGGCATGGACATATACACACTACCACACGTAAGGTAGATAGCTAGTGGGAAGCAGCCGCATAGCACAGGGAGATCAGCTCGGTGCTTTGTGACCACCTAGAGGGGTGGGATAGGGAGGGTGGGAGGGAGGGAGACGCAAGAGGGAAGAGATATGGGAACATATGTATAACTGATTCACTTTGTTATAAAGCAGAAACTAACACATGATTGCAAGGCAATTATACTCCAATAAAGATGTAAAACAAAAAAAAAAGAATATATTTTTAGGGAAGCATAAAAAAAAAACTCCTTGCATCCTGTTCAAAGAAAAGCGCAGTTTTTAAGTCTTTCACTGAAGAATCTATAACTTATTACGGGGGAGAGAATTTAAAAGTATGTACTTTGGAGTAGGAGGTGGGGAGTAGAGAAGGAAACTGGGTGGAAGTAAGGGTGTCTGTGATCCTATATATTTTTTCTCCTAAATTGACCTTAACAATCCAAAATCACATTCACAACAGTAAAAAATTGCCAGAGGAGAGACTATTTTAAAAAAAAAAAATATCGAAGGGGGTCCTTAAATCTTGCTAGCTCTCAAAAAGAACAACCTCCCTCTGGTAGACATAGGTGCCTGATATCTGCCATCTATGAGAATTTTACCAAAATCAAATTTTAACTGTTGTTCACCTCAAGATTGAGCCCATGCCTTCTTGTCCCTCCTACGATAGCCCAGGGACAGAAAGAATGCTCAGTTTGTATTTATTACTTTATGCAATAAAACACATTTTCAACAGTACCGAAAGGTTGCAAACTGTTTGCCAAAAAGCCATTAAAACCAGTAGTTAATTTGTAAGCTCTCTACTCATGCTAACACCTCCCACACACATTGTTCTTCTTCTGAGTAATCTCTCAAGGCCGGATACTTTGAATACCTGAAAAAACTGGATTTGTCCCTGCCCCTATCTCCATACCCACCCCTCAACGTTTCAGTACTACATTTAGCTATAATAGCTTTGTTTGTTTTTAACTTATCCTATACTGTACTTCTGTTTCCAAGGAATGATCCAGGCGCTGAAAAACACTACATTTCTCAACACTAAGAAGACTATTGCTTGTGTACCTCTGTAGCTGGGCTGGGAGGTAACTTCTCCTCTTCCGACTGGGTGGGCATTTTTAGGCCTCCGTATTTTTTCCAATAGAGCCAACAGGTTGCACATAACCTACACTGCATATTAGGTGGGCCCCAAGAATACCACTGATGAGACTGTGTAGCTAAAGACGGAGGAAAAACAAGAAAAAACAAAGAATGTGACATAACTTGTAATATCAATACACACATGGTCAAATATTTCAAAAATATTCCAAAGCCATCTTTAGTTTACAATGTTATTTTTCTTCTTCCAGTTTACCCGACAAACAGGAAAGTCTAATACATGTATGTATTTTTCAAGTGAGAATTCATTAAACCATTTATTTCTATAGTTATCAAGTGCCTGTGGCCCTTACTAAGAGGGGCCATTAGGTGAAGTGCCCTATACTATACATTGTGCTGCTGAAGGAGTTTTTGTTGGTTCATTAAAAACATTTTGTACAATATTAAATATTAAAAATATTGTGTAAATTTCTGGAAATAAGTTATCAGAAAGGTATTATTAAACTAAATCCAGGTTTTCAAACCTGTGGTTCAGAAACTACCTCAGGGTTTAAAGTGCTTAGAGGGACCCCTCAGATAAAGGTAGAAGTCTGACAGAAACAGGTATCTGTTTTCCATTCCTTTATTTTAATCAATAGATAAAATAATTATTTTACTCTTTCTCTCTTTAAAAACAAATCCTTTTCCAGACTGTAAGTCCCTGTCAACTGAGCATGCATAGCCAAGATCACGGCATGCTTAAGACCTGAGAGCTCGATTGATTCATTCCTGAGCTAAACACTACACACCTGTGTTGTTTTGCTCTGAAGTTTAAAGTACTGCCATATAACATTTAAAGTATTCCCACAATGGATCTGAAGTTTAAGAAAGAAAACACTGATGATGAACGCTAAGTTAATAAGGTACATAAAATTATGATTCTGTAAGTTTGCCTAGGAATATCCTTCCCTTGATCTGTAAGTTACCTTTATCAGGTCAAAACGTTCAAACAGCACATCAGGGTGTCAACTAACACTTCATAAACCAATGTCAAAAAGAGAAGATACAGCGATCATTACAGTCAAACTCTCTCTTAGTTTGTTGAAAATGATACTGTGAACCCATCATGTATTATTTTGGGAGGACTCCTTGCAAATAGCAGCCTAAAAACCTTTCCTCTTGTAATTTAAAAACAAATAGTAAAATAAGTTGATTTTTTTTTAAAACACAAATTTTAAGAATCCTAAACATTAGGCATGGGCCTATTTAGGATTCTGAACATAAAATTTCACTCATATTTAAATATTTATTTTCACCCAAATTAATCATGACATGTCATTTTAGTATGTCAACAAATGCCTTTCTCTTTATATAATTAACTCAAATTCAATGAAAGTGACAAACAGAAAACACCAAATTCTATCTTTCTATAAAGATAAAACTTCTATGTATATTATACTAAGATACATTTTACAATAGATTATTTAATACATGGACCTAAAATTAAAATTGCTTATTTGTCATGCACACATAAAAATGGTGAAATAATTATTTAAAGGGATATGTGAGACTGCATATAACATGAAAGGGGTTTGTAAGGCAAAAATAAGACACATTAAGCCACTAACACCTGTCTGCAGGATTCTTCTTCTTTTCATTTAAATATAAATGAAGTTCAAAATCTAACTGCCAACTCAAAAACAGTTATGCAATCCATGCAAAATTTTGACCAAAAGAATCTAATTTTCAGGCTTCCCTGGCGGCACAGTGGTTAAGAATCCACCTGCCAATGCAGGGGACACAGATTCGAGCCCTGGTCCGGGAAGATCCCACATGCCGCAGAGCAACTAAGCCCCATGCGCCACAACTACTGAGCTTAGCACACAGCTTAGCACACACTGCTCAACAAACCCAGGACACCACAGAAGCAAATCAAAGGAAACCCAATACCTAAACTCAGTGTCCAGGTGGAAGGTAAGGATGGGCACCTGTCCACTCTGAGGCTACATTATTCTGCCCTCTGCGCAGTGCTGACCTCTCGCACCTCCTGCCCGGCAGTGCCAGCACAATTTCCTGCCCTTCACCCACAACAGGCATCAGAGGAGCTGGGGAAGCCCTACTGGAGAAAACTTACCATAGCAGCTCTCACAGGCTCGCCCTAGGAGAGGGTTCTGCGGCTGGAATGCGGATCCCACGGCTCCATTCACAGCACCAGGTTTGCCATTACTGGTGGATATTTGGTTGGGATTTGGTTTGCTGCTTTCAATGAAATATAAAGTGAAGTGATAAAAATGACTTGCATAACAAGGTAAAAGGCTCTACATTTCATTATTGATTTACCTTAACTACACATAAATAAACATTTGAATGTTTGGTGAAGAAGAAATAAACTGGTAAAAGTAAGGTGTTAAAATGAACCCAAACCACTTATCTTTACAAACCAACGTCATGTAAAAACCAATCTCTTGGGCTTCCCTGGTGGCGCAGTGTTTGAGAGTCCGCCTGCCGATGCAGGGGACACGGGTTCGTGCCCGGGTTTCAGGAAGATCCCACATGCCGCGGAGCGGCTGGGCCCGTGAGCCATGGCCGCTGAGCCTGCGCGTCTGGAGCCTGTGCTCCGCAACGGGAGAGGCCACAGCAGTGAGAGGCCCGCGTACCGGAAAAAAAAAAAAAAATCTCTTAAGCCTGACACTCACAAAATAAATACACCGTATCTGTTCTCCGCCCAAACACAATTTCCTTAGGACACCCTCTGATAAATTTGAAAGATACAACTTATTAAACTTTATCACCTATCATAAATTCTCCTGAGAATATAATTTTTGGATTAAATAATTGAGCCAAGGGTAGTGTGCTGTGTTTAGAGAAAACCACTGTCCCATTCCTGCTGCTGGTGTGACAGCTGCTGACTCCACGCATCGGCTCTCAAGGGAACTACACGAAAGCCACATGCCCAACAGAGACACTGTGGATATCAGCAAGGCATATCTTGAGAGGTAAAAGTTAGCATTTCAGGAGATTGTGACCACCCGTGATTTCTATCATGTTTGAATATTTATGACGAAGATTAAGTAGCACCTGAAATTAGAAAAACCAATAAATGTATTTGAGGCATTTCTTTTTAAGAGGAAAAAGTTATATCTATCAGATTTCCAGAGGCCGTAATTCCTCACAAACATGTAACTCAGATTGTCTTGGTATTTACTGAGCAAACATGGCTCACTTTTTCCCATCTGGGGTAGCCTAACTCCCCTGCTTATCAGCCATGCCTAAGAATACTGTACAGGTGTACATAGTATGTCCTCAATACACTCATAATTCATTTAACATATATTTATTCAGTGCCCAGTAAAAAAAAAGTGCCAACATCAAGGAGCTTGCATTCCAGAGGAGCTTTCATGTCTATTTGCTGGGCAAAAAATAAGCAAAGTAAATTAGCAAATTATTTGTTAGTAATGAATGCTGAATGACTAAATGCAGACCATACTCTATCTTCCTGTGGCTTGTGAAGTAATGAGAGTTCACAACTATTAAGACACCTGGAGTTTCAGCACGGAGTAGGCTCGTGAGTTTCCTTTTTGCTGTTTCTCATTCCCACACTTACATTTACCAGTGAAAGCCTAATATGTAAACTTGGCCTGATGACAAATTAAGATTTCTTTCTGGGCTTCCCTGGTGGTGCAGTGGTTAAGAATCCACCTGCCAATGCAGGGGACACGGGTTTGATCCCTGGTCCGGGAAGATTCCACATGCCGCGGAGCAGCTAAGCCCGTGAGCCACAACTACCGAGCCTGCGCTCTAGAGCTCGCGAGCCACAACTATTGAGCCCGCGTGCCACAACTACTGAGCCCGTGTGCCACAACTACTGAAGCCCGCACGCCTAGAGCCCGTGCTTCGCAACAAGAGAAGCCAACGCAATGAGAAGCCCATGCACCACAACGAAGATTAGCCCCCACTCGCCGCAACTACAGAAAGCCCGCGTGTAGCAACAAAGACCCAACGCAGCCAAAAATGATAAAAATAAATAAATTTTTTAAAAAAATAAGATTTCTTTCTGGCACTGTTACTATAATTCTTAGCTGACGCCCCATCACCACCCCAGAAGAAATCATTTAACCTCTGTGTGCACTGAGGGCCCTATTCTATAAACAGGGCTATTATTTACACCTCAAATCTGTTCCAGCCATGTATTTTGAAGACAAATTGGTTTCAAAGACACATTTTAAACCAGACAGAACGTATTTCTCCTCTTAGAGTTTTCAGTTGGAAAAGTACAAAGTTAAAAGTGGTGATTCAGAATGACTAAGATTTCCAAGGGTATGTAAAAATATTTCTGATTTTTAAAATCTACTATACATAGAAAGAAGTGGTAGCCCCTTGAAGTCAAATGGCTGATAATGTCAGAAGGCTTTCTCTAAATAGGAACATTTCTGACATTTTACACAGGGCAAAATATATGTGTTAAGAGACCTAATACAAATTTACAGTTGAGCGGCCTGAGAAAAGAATGAGAGTAAACACAACTTTAGTTGTTCAACTGAATCTAGAATGTTATTTGACGGAATAAACCACTGACCTTAATTCTAATAATCACAAAAGGAAAATGAGTGTGCAAAGATGGAATATAGACAGGTGAACCAATTAAAACATGTTTTGCAAAACCAAGTACCTACAGGTTCCTTCTCAGGGGACAAATGGTTAATGTCAATGTTGACCATTTGAATAAAGACAAACATTTTTTTTTTAAGTTTTTAAAGCTGCATTATATGAAACTGCCCTTCCTTTATCTAATGCCCAAACCTTTCCTCCCCTCATCTATGCTCCAGATTGCAGCCCTCCTGCCCTCTTGAGAACTTTGTACACTTGATTCTCTTTCCTGGACCCTCCTCATTACCATGGAAACAGATTTCTCCATTTCTCCATATTTAAAAAACTCCCCCATTACTCTATCCACACTCACCCCTCAATGCCAAGAGCTCTCTCGACTGCCTTTTCCAGCCAGTTTTCCTGAGAGCTGCTAATCTTCACTGTCTGCAGCCCTTAGCACTCTATTAAACATTACCATCGACCTCCATGTTGCTAAATTCCCTGGCTATTTTTCATTAGCATTTGACACCGTTAACCTCTTTCCCTCCTTGAAAGACACTCCTCTCTCAGGTTGTGTGATAATGCACTCACCTGGCTATCCTTTTTCAGCTATCATACTCTATCTGATATATTGAACAGATTTCCTCAAGTTTGGTCCAAGGCTCTTTTTTCTTATTTACTCTAAGAAATCTCATCCATCGTTTCAAGCACAATATTGTATGCTGATGAAGCTCAACTATGGACCTCTAGCCCAGAACTTTCTCCTGAGTTTAAGACCAATATATCTGACAGCATATTCAACACCTCTTTTTGGAGAAAACAAACTCAAAATGACCCAACCTGGTTCTCTGCCGCAGTTTCTCATCATGGTGAACAGCACAGCAATCCACCTAGTTAATTGAGCTAGCCAGAAACCTGGGACTCAGCTTGACATCTCCCCTCTCTCTCTCCATACAAGTCAATCACCTCTAAGTAGCATACCATTTCCAGGCCACAGCTCTAGGTCAAGCTACTATCATCTTTCTTCTCCAAGAACTTTCATAATTGGCGTTCTTACATCCACTCCCCTGTTTCCCCATACCACTTTCCAAAATGTAGCCAGTAATCTTAAAGTACGTAGAAATTTAACCATGATACCTGCTTGTTTACAGCCCAACTCCACTGTTTATCAGATGGCTAACTCCTGGCCCTTGCCTACCGTATTGGCCTCCCATGGCTCACCACTCTCTTCACACCAGCCACACTGCCTTTCTCTCACCTCCGTAACTCTGTTCTGCCCCTTCCCATCTCACAATCCCATTGGCCTGGAAAGCCTCCATCACCTGAATGATCCCTCCTCTACAGTTCGCTCAAACTCACCTCCACAAGGAATCTTTCCTGACAGCATCAACTGAGTGTGGTCCCCAGAACAAACTGTCACACCAGCTCTTCTCCATCATCAGAGTACTCAACACACTGGGTGACTAGCTGTTTGGCATCTGTCTCCCCCACAATAGAATGTAGGCTCCAGAAGACAACGTGCCTTCTTAACTGATCTACCTCTAGCAGTGAACAGAGTGCTTTGCATATATATAGGAGACTGCCAGTCTCAAAAGAATGACAGTATAAAATAATTCTTGGGGATTCCCGCTGGTGGTCCAGTGGTTAGGACTTTGTGCTTTCACTGCCATGGACCTGGATTTGATCCCTGGTCAGGGAACTAAGATCCCACAAGCCATGTAGCATGGCATCCCCTCCCCCCAAGAACTTAATCTATTATTTGTTTTAAAATAATATTTCAGAGTTAATTGGGAAATTCTTCAAAGAACTCAGATTCTTATCCAACTCAACAGTACAGATTCATAACAGAATTTATTATGAATAATAAATTCATAATAAATAGAATTCATATATTCTATTTATATACATGATTTATATAACAGTTTTTAAAAGTATGATTAGAAACTCTATCTTGATCTTCAAAAGTCATTCACTTGGATCAGGGATTGGCAGAGTAAATGTTTTAAGCTTTGTGGGTATTATAATTTCTGTCGCAACCATTGAGCGCTGCCATTGTAGCACAAAAGCAGACAGAGACAATACATAAATGAATGAACATGGCTGTATTCCATAACACTTTATTTACAGAAACCGGTGGCAGGTCAGATTTGGCCCACATACTGGTCTTTGACTTAGTCTTTGACTTAGATCAAGGCTTAGATCAAGGCTCCAAAGTCAATGCAAAACAGAAGAGCAACAATTATCTGGGTTATTTGCTGAAAACTGGCTTAATGTACTTTTCCTTTGATGTGACAGCACTGCAAAGTATAAGAAAGCTGGTATGCTTGTTTTTGAAAATCTAAGACACATGAATCACAGCAGTGTTTTCTTTGGGGAGTTGTTCTTTTATAGCTTAGTCAAATAAAACATATAATTTTCTAAAATATTAGAAACCACTCTGCAGGAAGGACATTACAGCTCTGAATAAAAATTATGGACCCTGTAAATTACATGTTATCTATCTTGAGATAAAAGATTAATAAGAAATACAACAATTCAGTGTCTATGAGGCCTCCTGTACATAAAAATATATCAAAATTCAGTAAACAAAAGGCGAGGTATAAAACAACTGTACTGAGCTCAAAGAGTGAAAAAGCTTGAATCAGTACACAGAACGCTGCAGTAAATTTCATTTTAATCCCCAAAGAACGTAGGATAGCACTGTATACATGGTGCTCAATAAATTTTCCTGAACAAATGAACTGTCAAACTCATGATCTCAAAAAAAGATAATTCATTTAAAATGTAGCAAATGAAAAGAAAATTGGCATTCATTTTGATATGACAATGATTTCTAAACCAACAGGACAATAATGATAGAATGCTAGGCATCTGAAACAACTGAAACCTATTCATTATTTATCCAATAATTTACAAAGTTTGGTTCTAATTACATCCCCTAACCCTTTCCCCAAGCAAACAATGTAAAATTCTCAACCAAATAAACGACATACCTCAAAAGGGCAACACACATTACCCAAACAAAATACATTAAACAATACAGAAGTTTCAAAAGTTGCTAGCTTTCTGAAACACATTTGCTTCAAATAATATTTTCATAGGTTAGTTTTCTAATGCTTTCCCTGAAGCTTTTTATTAATTTAAATTTTTTTTTTTTTTTTTGCCACGCTGTGTAGCATGTGGGATCTTAATTCCCGACTAGGGATCGAACATGCACCCCCGAGCAGTGGAAGCGTGGAGTGTTAACCACTGGACCACCAGGGAAATCCTCCCTGAAGCTTCCATGGCATGTTTCCTCTGGTCCTTTTGTTAGCTGACTTGGGGTTTCCCCCACCAGCCATTTTTCTTTCTAAAAAAGGTCATTTAAGTGGCACTAAAATGGAAAGCAAACAGTGCTTTGTAGTGGAAGAAAATAAGATACATAAAGAAATTCAAATTTGGCAGAAACTGACCAAAATGTACATATTTTGTTTTGAAGAGAATTAATACCATGGCAAATATTTTAATAGATTTCCATTACTTACTAAGTTGGGATATACACTTGTTTCAGCTTACTCTCAGCTTCTGCTGCTTTTAGACGTTTCTAATTCAAAAGATAGATAAAATATTTTACACACGATGTCGAATAATTATTACCACTTCATCTGCCTTAAAAAATTCACAAGAAAATAAAACATTAAAGTATACTTCAAAAATTGCCTTTTTAAGATGAGCTTTTCTGTCATGCACGTAAACTGCAATGGTTTGTAAGAAAAAAATCACTAGATTCTGAGGTACAGAACTACAAGTATTAAAAACATTTTAGACACAAATTTTAAAAATAAAGCAATGAACAACTGTTTCCTATTCCTCCATGAGTAGATAAACAGGACTTATAAGTAACCATTTTTACTTTTCACAGTTTCTATTTATTTCTTTCTTGCCTTTCTCAGAGGGAAAAAAAAATACATAACCTTTGCTTTTAGAAAATTATTCAGAGATGATTAGTTTCCAAAGTCCATGAAAGAGAAGGAGACAGTAACTAATCTAAGTCCAATTAAATAAGCATGTACCCTCAAATGTTGGGAGACATGCAGTAAACTTTAAAGCTTGGCTGAACTCATGTCAGATTTTTAGGAACCAATTAGGAGCCAAATGCAGGGAAAGGAATGGGGAAAAGATTATAAAATCACATCCAGAGAGTGATCAACACAATAATAAGTGCAAATAGGGAAGGAAAATAATGTATGGTAGATACTCAAAATGAAGACAAATCAGAATATAAGACAACCCTCCATTTGCTCAATGAGAAGGAAACAAAAACATTTAAGGAGACAACTTAAAACTTTTAAAGAAGGAGTCCAAATTTTTGGAAATAATTTTTATCCAAATACTTTCAACCATCCTTGATGCCATCATCGCCACCATCTATCTTTAGGGACTCTTTTCACTTTGAGTAACAGGTTTTCCAGAGCACATGGTCTTCATGCTATCTAAGTTGTTTGAAGTAAGTATTTGGGGCGGTGGGGGGGTGGGGGTGGGGGAACAACTTTATTAGGAAAGCCAACAGGTGAGAAGATGGCAGACTAATGTCCTAAAAGAACCATCTTGCCTGGATTTGGAGGCTAGTTTGAAATGAGCACTTTCTGAATTATATATGATGTGATGCTGGGAATTTTTCAACAAGCCATGGGTATTTATTCACTATTCACAACCTCAACAACTCACTATGGTAATTTTTAAAGTGATCTTTAAATTGTATTTTTATAGCATCTAACACTTGCCACTGGGTGATCATATACTTATGAAAAATAATGTCTGTGTTAAATATACTTGCCCCTTTACCAGTTCTGACATGTTAACTAGAAGAATATAATATACTGACTGAGGTCACTTGAGGAAAATGTACCTTTCCCCCAAAAGTAGTATTACTCAAAACAGGTAACTGAGAGAATTACCTCAATTTGGGACATTTGGGGAGAATTTACAAAATAAGTGATTCCCTGCTTTTAGAGGTAATTTTGGGAACAAAAGTTGTGTGCTTATGTACGAAGTATCAAACTAGTAAAGACTAACTACTACAGTTAAGGTCAAAGACTTAGGGGGTATAACCACAAAAATGTCTAGGAGGGTTCAGAAGATCTTTCACACATTTTAAGTCATTCCTGTCAACTATACTCACAAAGAGATGAAGCACCAGGCACCTACAAGGAAAACAATACCTCTCTATTGGTATCTTTCCCTGCTGTCTGTCCAAAGTATTTATCATAATGGAATCTGAAGTAAAGAAAATATCGAGACTAAAATCTTAAAATAATATGTTAAAGATATGAAATCATGTACTTTAAAATGGTCTAGAAAAGATAAAGCAAACAAAACAAATTTAACACTAAGCATATTGCTAAGAAATACTAATGTATAAATAGAAAGTTCATTTTAATGCAATTGTATTGGTAGCAATATGAAAAAAATTACCTGCTGCACATATCTGTCAGTAGTTTTCCACATGTAATAATATTCAATGATGCTAGTCAATGATTTCCAAGGGAGCTGAAAAAAAATTTAACATGATAATGAAAACAAGCTACCGTAGAAACTCTTTTCCTTTAAAAGCACTTCTTAAAAATAAGGAGGTAATAATCCACATGGAAGATGCATTCTAGAAGAAATGTTTGAAAAACTGAAATTAATTCTGAGCAAAAGGGTCCCCAAACAAGTTCTATTCAGCTAGAGATGCACATTCCATTTCTCAACTCCCATTCTGTTAAAAATTATAAACCTTACGACTGAAAATATTTCATGACTTACTCAGTTTTTCTCGGGCTATAGGTGGGGTGGAAGTACAATTTTTAGAAATGATATTTTAACGAATCTGGACTGAGTTCTCCAACTTCCAAAGATGCCACCTACAACTGGGGGGTCATTGGTCTCTGGTATAATATTTCTCATCCTTTCCAAAACTGCTCTATTCTGATCTATTTTGTTGTAAATAAAATGAAAACCTAAATCTCTGAAAAAGAACATTGCCAAGTGTGGTACATATTAGAAAAATAGGAAGCTTGTCTGCTATGTTCCATAATTATTCAAAATGGCCAAATGAGCCTTTACTTATGAGACCCACAATGGAAGAATATATTTAATATGTCCCTCTGTAAAGGGAGATCTGTTAGTCTTCCAAGATGCAAATCAGGGCAGATCAAACAAAATGACTGATAACATTCGAGTTTTAGCTGTTGTGGCAGATTTTACTGATAGGTGACTCAGCACCCTCTGACTCCCAGCTTGCCCTAATGCACCACTGGGTTTAGAGTTAAAATAGTTCTTCCCAGACCCCAGTGCAGCTAGGGGTCTGTTTATGACCCACATGTACAACAACCATGCAATTCCTGTCATCTTCACATTTAACTCACCTGTTTGGTCTGAAGAGAAAAATAAATGGAGTTTAGAAAAAGGACGTTATTTTAAAACTTAACTGGGTGGCAACTTCAACAAATGTGGTCTCCTTACAGGAACAGATCGGCACAGCTGGCATTTGGATTGCAGTTAAAGCAAACATAATTTTCTCCCATTTAACAAGCAATCTAATGGAGCTGAAAGTGTCTGAGGGATGGTGTTAAGGAGCCAACTACGGCAACACCTCACAGGACAGCTGAGGTATAGTCTCCCAGGGTTTTAAGCAAGCCAAAACCTCTTATCCCCTTAATTATTCTTCTTCTGGGAAGTAGGCCCGGGCATGCAATTTACCTGGAAGCCTGAGAAAAGAAAACCAAGTGACCCTGTAACCTGAGCTTCCTCACGAGCCAGATTTTATCTAAGCCACAGAGTCCTGAACAGCTGTGCTCAGCGCCAGCACACTCTCATCAAGGAGGAGTGCAGGTCACATCTCAGCGTGTCTGCTCCTGACGTAGTATCATTTCTCCCTCAACCCTCACTCAGCTTGCATGGGAGTTCCAGCACGTCAACTGAAGAGGAAAAAATCCGAATGTGGCAGATGGCTCCGCATGATGTATGGGCACCGACTGGAATTATACTGCTGCAGCATTTCAGCCCCAGGCAGGAGTGACTGTGACGCCCAGTGACGAAGGGAGATCCTTTTGGAGGGCAGAACATTAGAGCGGACGTCTGGTTTTCTACGTTGAGTTGCAAGAGAGAGGGCCAGAGGTACTAATCCGTACCCATCCGTGGACAATGGTTATTTGCTTGTCACAATGATCAGGGACTTGAAAGGAATGAGATTAGAGGACTGGTAACAATGATGCTTATAAAAGAGGTTTGTGGGTCGGACGTCTGAGGGTGGGCCTGGCTGTGAGGGTATCTGAGCCCCCGTGTTCACAAAGGCTCCTCTGCAAAGGAGGCTTTTCACTCGTCTGCTGTATAAGATGATCCCTATGGCTATAAGCCAGCCTCCTTCCCTAGCCACCCAATGACTGCTCAAAGGACACGTAAACAAAACGGACACACCTGTGGATGCCACCACAGGGATGTCCTCTCACCCATTCTGATCTGATTACTCCAAGTGTCTAATCTGCAAGGAACAGAGTACACTGGGCCTCCAACATGGCACCAGTCCTGGTAACATGTCAGTTAGATTAGACTCTCAGCATCCTGGAATAGTAGTTACCTGTTTTCATTGAATGGACAATTATTCTAGATATGATTTGCCTTTTCTGTGCTATTGACTAGCAATAGCACACACAGACTTATGAATGACTTACTCCCACAAAACACTTTTTGTAACCCAGGGCCCACAACCTGCAAGAATGAAGGTTTGGGTCACCCCACCAGACTAAGAACTCTGGTCATCTAAGATACGGAGGGGAGAACAGTGTGTGTGTGTGTGTGTGTGGGTGGGTGGGTGGGTGGGTGCTGCTCTATCCTGAATGACAATGAAGGCATCAGGAAGAGCTTCACAAAGGGAGAGCGGAAGACTAACGAAGCTATCTGTGTTTTCTTCCTTGCTCAGTGTAATTATTTTCCTTCTGCACCCAATTCCCTTTCTATTTTTTATATAAGGTCTGTTGGTGGTGGTGTTTTTACCTTTATAATTTAATGCAGAAGTTACAAGCTATAAAGACAGGGTTGTGGCTAAAACCAGAAGAGGAATAAACAGCAACCAGAGATGGATGCTGTGACGTTAAATTTAAGCCTCCCCATTTAAGGAAATAGTACCATATTTTCTAATGATTCAGGGATAATTACTATTGTTTTAAAGTTGATGTCTGGAAAGGAAGCATGTAGAGACGGCAACGATGGATGTTAAGTAGTCAAAGAAGTGGGTGGTGGCAGAAACTGTACACCCATTTCCAACCTACTTCCAGCTTACCTTCCTTGAAGCTCTAAATACATTTTCCCCAGATACTCTTGAACAAGGATGCAGACATACAGGCCAGGTTTAGCCAAGCTGACAAATGTGAATGACATTTAGATATAGGAGTTAGCAACGTCAGAATAAGGCTGCATGCAGGGAGACTGGATAGTTCGGCAAGAACAATGGCTGGGATACCACGTTCTTCTGGGGCATGTGTGTGGACTTTTCTGCCATCCATGTTTGACATCATGGATTCCAAGCAGCAGAGGGCATGGGTCTTTCCACTGTTTCTGGAAGTGCAGCATCCAAACCTGGTTCTCTAGTCTTCCCAGAGATTTTATGAGAACCTAATATCCTATATGCCTTTCAGTTTAAATTATAGTGAAATCTGTACTTACCAACTAAGAACCTGGACTAATATAACCAAAGTATCTATCCTTTATTCTAAACTAGATGAGGTTGAGTTTCTCTCACTTATAATCAAAAGTACTCTAATACAAAAATTGGTAGAAAGTGAAGTGCTCTAAGAATAGACCCTAGATACGTGGCACTTACTGACAGAGTCAAGGTAGAACAGAATCATGCAAGATTGCTGAGTAGAGGTAGCAGATGTTGTAGTGGGGCTCCTGCTAGAGCACTGCCACTGTGGGGTTAGATACTGCTCTTGGCTTCACAAGTCCTGTCTGTGAAGCATCGAAACGTGGATCCCTGGCTAACGTCTGTTAGCCTTCTGACAGCCTTTAATAAATTTCTGTCTCCTCATAATAGCTCACTCAAATGGATTCTGTCGTCTCTAATTATGACTTGCTCAGTATCCTTTCCAACTTCCCTCTAGTTCACTTGCTTATGCTACAAAGGCTAGAAATCCAAACGTTATACTTCCAAGACCCCCTTGGATTTATCTCTGCCAGTCAGATGTATGTGTGTAAGACAAATTCAGAAGTGAATTAAGCAGGCATAGAGTGGATGGTGCACAAGGGATCCATTTTGCTGCAGCAGAATTAGGAGGCACAAAATTGTTCTAGAGCCAATGACGCTGCTAGAGGTTTCCTGATCTCAAGATCACGGCTAAAGTAGTGTGATCCTGGCCCAGAAGTTGACCCAGCAGCTTCTCAATTTCCATATGGGGCAGAGGTTAAGAGCTCACTTGTGGAACCATTTCTGTGGGACTATTCTGAGGTCCAGCTTGAGCCTACTTCTCCAACCCTATCAATGATTTTAAGCATCTAATTTCTAAAGTTAAATCCCAGTCTGTGTAAAACAGCTCCAATATTTTGTCATCTGCAACTGAAGTCTAAATGATACAACAGCCAGGAAATACCCTTTGCTAAAGGAGTTTCTATGGCAAAGGACTCGCTCCACTGTATGAAGAGGGAAGGACTTTGCTATTTTGCACTTTGAATTTTTCAGGTTCCTCTGCATATTTCAGGTCCTGTTTAGGACGTAGAAATCCACAAGAGAATGTCATCCCCACTCTAAAGATGAGGAAAGAAACAGATAATTTATAAAACCACACCAACTCTTTAGTCCATCAGAGAGCTAAGATTACAAGACAATCAGCTGAACTAAATTCCCAAGTCACTCCAAGGAGAGACAGGACTCTAAATATTTTTACTTTGGCAGAGCATAAAAGAAACAGGTGATGAACAACAAAAAAATTACCAGATTATTAAAGGTCAGCAGTGGGCTAGGACAACTGTTTAGCATCTGTGGAAGCTCTAGACACAAGGGGAATCCAAACACATTTGCCAGAGATCTCTATCAGGTGTTCATCAGAAAGAACTGAGCCAGTGGAGGAGACCTGAGAAATCCATAGGTGGTGGTAGAAATTTGAATGTACACGAAGAAATGAAGAGGGGCAGAAATGGTAAATTTTAAAAAAATAAGTAACAATAAATAAGTAAATAAACATGGGGGGGGATTAATCTTTTTAAAAGATCACTGATTGCCTAAAGCAAGAAACAGTAATAATGCACTGCGGGACTTAGAACATGTACAGAAATAAAATGTATGACGACAAAAGCACAGAATGGGAAGGAAGAACTAGAAGTGTACTGTCTCATGGTTCTTATCATCTATGTGATCTAAGCAGAATTTGATTGAAGGTAAACTGTGGTACATTAAAGATATATATTGTAAACCACTAAACAAAAGTTTAGTTAGTAAGCCACCAGGAGAGATGAAATGGGCATCATAAAAAATTAAGAAAGGGGGGGAAGGGCTTCCCTGGTGGCGCAGTGGT